CAGAAAATGAAGTAGCTGGTGGTAGGTGCTTCGCACGACTTGCATCGTATGCAACCAAGTTCTACCCATGATGAGATTATACGGCGAAGGAAGCTTGACAACCAAAAATTCCACGTCCACTGATCTGGTGCCAGCCTGTACGGGTAATGCGATTTTGCCCATAGGGTACTCCGGGTTAGCATTGAAGCCGAATAACGGATAATCCGCTGGGAACAGGTCCGAGTCGGTAAAGCCAAGTTTGATGAAAGTTTTGTAATACATTATTTCTAAAGTGCTGCCCTAGTCAATGAGAACACGCTCAATGGAAAATTTGTTGATGCATAGCTCGATGACAAGAGAATCAGTGTGGGGGAGGGTTATTCCAGCTAAATCACTATCATCGAAGCTGATCCTTCCAGTGTCAAGGGGCTGTTTTGCTGACATCATAGGGCTATATGAGGTTGATTGAAACTGGATTGTTTGTACCTCAGACGACATCGGCAGGCTGTATATCATATGAATTACATCCAAAGGGGGTGACTGCGGTCGTATGGCTATTGTATTTGTTGAATTGTTCTTTCGGAGGTATTGCGTAAGACAGCCATCTTGCACCAATTCTTCCAGGTGATCTTTCAATGAGAACAACTATCGGTGTCGTGACCGTGGTCTTTATGATATTCGCACCGTTTATCTTGTCTTCTCGCATCGGAAGGTCCCATCATCTTGGGCGGCCACTTGAAGAAGGGAAGATGTTGTACTTTCGGCAGGATCTTACTAATCGTCTCTACTAGCTCTGTATATTTCTTGCCTGAGCGTCTTGTGCACCTGTTATCCACTTTATATTGTTCATTAGCTCGATGTGAACAATGATCGTTTGATCGGCGCGAATCACGCCTTTTATCCTGTTTAGGTTGGCTCCGCCGCTCTGGTCTTTTTGATGGCACGACGCTAATTGACTGAACAATTCCCGACGTGGCCGCCTCAATAGTTTGATGTCCGGCTTTAACCTGCAGGGCATCGTCTTTAACTTTGCAGTACTCTTCGACCTTCTTCATTAATGCCCAGACGGTTTTTGGGGGCCACCTAGTTAATGAACTACAGAGGGGGCTATATGGATGCAAACCCATCTTAAAGGCAGTGATGGCCATGGAGTCATTGCAAGCATCATCTACTATATTAAAGCACTCCCAATAGCGAGTTGAGTATGCGTGAAGAGTTTCTTCCGGTTTGATTTGCATGGCCCAGAGAGAGTCAGCTTGCTTCGGCTGGACCTCATTAGTGATGAATCTCGCCCTGAATGACTTTTGGAGTTGGTGGAAGTTCCGAATCGATGCCGGCTCCAGTTTATAGTACCATCTCACGGCCAGTGGTCCCAGCCTGCTTGGAAATATTCGATACATGAGGGCTTCGTCATCAGCATGGAGCATCATCGCTTGCTTGTAATGACGAATGTGATCAGTGGCGTCTGACCTTCCATTGTAAAGGGTGAACGACGGTGCCTTGAACTTTTTGGGAAGCACTGCCCTTGCAATACAGCGCACGAAAGGGTCATGTTTATCTTCCTCATCCGAATCAGTGCTTCTCCCTCGTTTATTCTGCACATGTGGACTTCCCTCAAATGAGCTGGATACATTGGCGCGTCCTTTCTTTCTGGGTTTAGGGGATGGTGAGTCTGAATCACTGTCATTATTGCGTTTCTGAAGTCGACGTCGTCGATCATCCCTCTTTCCCAAAGGTCGAACTTGGTCTTGGCATGCAGCTTGTTGGGATTTCGCCACCTTTAAGGCCAAATCCTGGCTCAAGCGTTCATTCTCAGCCATCATGTTCTCAAGCCGCTGTTCATTTTGCTTTGCTTGATCCATAATCACCTGCATTGTCTCTTGCATTGAAGTCGAGGGTGAGGTCTGAGCTACTGAATCAAAGTTTAACGCACGTCGTGCGGCGATATTCTCCGGTCCCAGCATGTTTCTTGGAGTAAGGTCGTCTCTTGGCGTAGTTTCGTCAACGACTATCGGAGGATCTTCTGTGACGCTCGCCATGAATATGCTTGAGTATTCCCATAGACGGCACCAATTATGGAGAGGTAGATTTGGAAATACTCTTGTATCCTGATGAACGTTCTTGGTCCTCTGATTGACACCTGAAAAAAAAAGGGGATTAATATTTCGGTCGGGGGTCGGAATTAGCACTCCGACAGACAAATTAGTATCTCTCTCAAGTTTGCTTGTGACTTAAGTTTCTAGGATTTTTCTCACACACCTTTCTTCGGCTGATACCCCTCTATTTATATTTTTCTTTTGGGCCTCAGGGTCGGGCCCACCCATAATCCATTGCATGTTTGTTTATTCGGCTTTTGTTCAACTGGTTCTTCAGTCGATTAATCTATTTGGTTTTGCGATCGTCTAAGATGGAGCCGAATACAAATTCTGTCCTTGACTGTCCTCATACCTGTATTTGGCTTTATTGCACGTATATCAACAATATCCGGCTCCCATATGAATATTTTTAAAATTTTAAGCAATTTTTTAACTTTTTTAGATACACCTTATTTAGATGTATCTAAATAGTAAAATATTTGTGAAAAAATATTTTAAAAAATTAATAAATATACAAAAATATGAAAAATATATTGAATTTTTGTATTTTTCTTATATTTTTGGTATTTAGTAAATTTTTTAAAGATTTTTTCACAAATATTATACTTTTTAAGTGTATTTATTTTAGGGTGTCTTAAAAAAAATTAAAAAAAAAATTGCTTAAAATATTAAAAAAATTCATTGAAAACAAAAAAAAAATACGAAAAATAAAAAAGTAGAATTTTCTGAAAAGTGTTTTCTAATAACCAAAACCAAACAAGCTGATTGAAATTTTATATTTTTTGTATGGAAAATGATATAAAGTCTAGTTCCTCAACTTATTTTCGACCCAATGATGTGTAAGGGCATCTTTTGATAACATGATTCAATACTTAAAATTGAATTGATTAAGTAATAATCAATTAAACCCGTTTGATGATTATAATTAATATCACTTAAAAATTAAAATACTTCTTAAAATATAGACTAAAATTTTAAAAAATAAAAATTAAATCATATAAAATTTATTTAATTCTAATTAAATTTATAAATATTAAACACAAATTCATCTGTCCAGTTCTCTGTACCACTGCTCATTTGCTGACATGTGTCTATTACCAGCAACCAATTTTAACTCCACCAAATCCTTCCGGTCTCTCTCTATTCGCAACAAGTTAATGTCTTGTCTTCCTTTCCTGGTGGCCATGGATTCAAACTTTGTTGTCATCTTCACCAACTCTACTATGAGTTTAAATCTGTGCTTCATAGCCCTGGCCAACTGCGTTGACCACTCTGCGGCTCCGAACAAGAGCCTGAAGAATAAAACTTTCCGGCTAAAGTAGTTGGCAAACGCTGTCGCGAAGTTCCGTCTCGACCGAGTAAACAGACAAGACGATGATCAGATCCTCTGCTTCACAACCACACTAGTTTCTGTTGGAAATGGTTAATTTTTCCTAAGTTAGGTCTATTTTTTAGGTGGGCCCCGAGTGTCGATTAAATCAACAATACAAATATATATTTATATATATATATGCAATATTCACATATAAATAAACTGTATTTTTAATGTGTATAGAAAAAATATATAATCAATTGAAAGTGAAAGTGAAAGATAAAGGATCACAACTATTTTCCCCCAAATCGTACACCAAAGTCTGCTTGATTTATGGAGAAAAAACCCTATATGCGAACTAGCATAACAGAGACTGACAAACTCAAACATGTACATATACATACATACATAGAGAGAAGTGAATAAGAGATTTCCACAAACATGGTTCTCTTAGTTCTTGATGAATTACATTTGGGAAACTTTCCAGAAAGAAAAACTTCATGAATCTGGTGTTGCAACGTTTTAATTTTAATTTTGTCTAGGATGACTGTCCATGTTGGTCCGTTTCCGTAGAGTAGTCATGGAGGAGACAATGAAGTTGGTCGAAGCTGTCAATAATTAGCCGTAAACGAGTTATGACTCGTGTGAATGTGGACAGAGACCGACAATTGGTTTTGATGATATACACGTGTCATCACAAGAATAAAAATACCGATAACTGGGACAGTATTGTGTGAGTCGTTTAATATTTTAATTCATCATCACATCATTGAGCTTAAAAGGTGAATGATACTATTAATTAATAATTAAATAATGTATTAGAGAGAGTATTATTTTTTTTAATATCTTAATTGATTTTTACATCATTAGACTTGAAAGGTAGGTCTAATTTTTCATCTTGAATAACATTTTTTTTTTGTATTTAGTGAATTTTAAACTTTTTTTTCCCACAAGTATTATACTTTTTAAACTTATTCAGATTAGGTGTATCTAAAAAATTGCTTAAAATATTTTTTAAAAATTCACTACAAATAAAAAAAATACAGAAAATAGAAAACTCATTTTTTTTTTAAATTTATTCTTTCAAAAAATAAACCTACTCAATGTGTTTGGTTTCAATTTTTTAGAAATTGGATTTTTTTGTATTTAGTGAATATTTTTAAAATTTTAAGTCATTTTTTTTCTTTTTTTAGATGCAGCTTACTAAGATGTATCTAAAAAGTAAAATATTTCTAAAATATATTTTAAACAATCAATAAATACACAAGAATATGAAAATATATTGAATTCTCGTATTTTTTTGTATTTTTTGTATTTAGTGTATTTTTTAAAGATTTTTTTCACAAATTTTATAATTTTTTAAGTGTATTTATGTTAAGAGAATCTAAAAATTAAAAAAATTGCTAAGAATATTAAAGAAATTCAGCAATAATAAAAATATACAGAAAATAAAAAAAATTGAATTTTAAAAAAAAATAATAATAAATACTGAATCTTGAAACAAAACAAGCTGACTGGTATTGGGAGAGAGAGTCTTTTAACTGAAGATTAATCATTATTAAACTGCAGATTAAGGAAGAAAAGTAACAAAAACAATCATAAGCAAACAAAAAAACTCCTTCCTTTGCTCTAGATCTACACCTTGCTTCTTTTCCAAGCTAGCCCTTTTTTATGAACCTTCACAACAAGAAGATATAATCTTACTTGCCAAAAAGACAAAATAAAGACAAAATAAACACACAAAAAAAAAAAAAAATGAAAATTACATACCAAGAAAATAAGTATATAATACAAATTCAATTTCACACAAAATACATCTGATTTATACTAATTTTCAAATATCTTTTTTTTTTTCTACTACTCAAAATTTAAATTCCAGTAGAACCAATCAACTTGGTTAAGCCAAAAGTGATCCCCATGGCCAACCACCCTCCAACCAAAATCCTAAGTGAAGATTTCACCACAGGTGCCCTCCCAAGCACTGCACTCAACCCTCCAAACCCTAGCAGTGCTAAACTCACTGCCGCCACCACCACCCCAACCCTAACCCAATAATCCTTCATAAACGCTGCTGCCAACAGCGGCACCACCGCCCCCACCACGAATGCCGCCGCTGACGCCACTGCTGCCGCCAATGGACTCGGCAAGTGCTTCTTCATCTCCTCAATTTCACTTCCACTCATCTCTCTCTCCCCACCCCATCTCTTTATCTGACTCATCTCTATATCGTACTGCGAGTACACCGAGACAAACTCTCCGATCGCCATGCTACAAGCTCCGCCCACTGTTCCGGCTATCCCAGTGAGGATCATTGTCTTGACATCTTTTCGGACCGCTCCGACACCCATCATTAACGATGCGGTGGAGAGCAGCCCATCATTTGCACCTAATACGGCGGCTCGGAGCCACTGGGCTCGCTTCGAGTAATCGACGACCTCAAGCTCGAGGGGTTCCATGGTGAGTGGTTGTAGTTCTCTCTCAAGATTATCAACAACGTTAGGAGTCTCATATTTTGTTTGGTTGAGGTGGGTTTGAGCTTGGGTTGAAAAAGCCATGTAAGAAGAAGAAAAAGAAGATACACGTGTGTGTATTTGTTGTAATGGGTGAAGAAGTGTGGAGGACACACGGCTCAAGGGGGGTATTTATAGGAAAAAAAAATGCTTCAGATCCCTTAATACACCACTAATCACGTGACAGCATGTAAATTTTATTATTGATTTAATAGTTTGACTTTTTTTTTAATGTGTCATAAATTTTATTATTTTATTTTATTAATTAATGTGTCATAAATTTTATTATTTTATTTTAAAAAATTTAAATATTTGCAATTTGTATAATAGGTGAGATTAATAATAATATCATAATATATATTGATATGCTAATTAATATATTAATTTATACATATAGTATTATTTAAAAAAAATCAAGATTATTAAATGAAATTCACTTCAATATGTCATGTCATATATTAAATAAATAAATAAAAACTAACACACATACTAATGGCGTGTTTAGGAGTCGGGTAATTTAAAAAGTTGGTTAAAAATTGATTTTTTTTTTATATAAAAAAAATATGAGAGGTAATATGAGCCAAAATGAGTTAAAAGTTAAAAATTAACTTTTAACTAGCTTGCCAAATTGCCTCTAAATTAGTCCAAGAAATTAATATACAAATTTAAAATTTTATTTTTATTTTTATTGTCCCCACATTTTACATGCAAAAAAGGTATTAAATATGGATTTCACAAAACACCACGGGAATATGGATTTTACACCCATAAAAGTGTTTAGTAGATTTTTTTTTTATCTCTAATATTGCTCTTTTTATTTGTAGCACATTCTGGGTTCCATGCAAATATTTCATTTGGAGTTTTTTTTTTTTTATTTCTCAATCGTCTAACAAAAGCAAATTAACAAGTTATACTACGTAAATAATGTCTCATAGTATTTTAAGACTACTAAATAATTATCATTTTTTTCAAAAATTTTTACAAAATAATGTCACAATAGCATTTTTGAAATTAAATATAAGTTAATGAACATTTAATTTTAAAATAATAAATAGCATTAATTAGACAAAATAAATAAATAAATTCTAATATGAAACAATTTTGTATAGTATTAATGTATTCTTTGGCTTTAGGTGGAGCATGGGGACAGTGGAGTGGCATCTGACGCGTTCACACTGGTAATAGAAGTATCCTGTTGATATGTAGGAGCTGACTTCTAGTCTGCGTTTCTTCTGTAATTATGATACTAATTAAAAAAATTTAAAATTTATAATCAAACATGCAATTTAAAAATACCCAAAATTTAATTTAAAAATTATTTTTAAAATTCATAACTAAATGTACAATTTAAAATTCTTTTCAAAACTTTCAAAACTTTAGTTTAAGAAAAAAAATTCAAAAAAATGTTTATTTATTTTATTTTTTAAAATCATGATTTGAATATGGAGTCATATTTTGAGTTATAAATTTTGTTTTGAAAAGATAAAATTTGTTTGATTATGAGTTTTAAAAAGAGTTTTGACTTGTATTTTGAAATTTTTTAGATTTATTTTATATTTTAAATATTTATTTATTTATTTTAATGTACATTATATTTCTTGCATTTGCGTGCTGTATTTTTTTAAATATTAAAAAATTAAAAAAAATCATTTTTATTTTATAAATATATTTTTAAATATTTTATTTTTTTATTATACATTTGGTTACGATTTAAGTGTGGAGTTTTGAAAGTAATGTAGAGTTTCGAGATATGTGTTTGGTTATGAGTTTTGAAAATAATTTTTGAATTGAGTTTTTAGTTATGTGTTTAGTTACAATTTAAGTGTAGAGTTGTATTTTGAGTTTAAAATATTAAAATTAACAAAATTAAAATATTTACAAAATAAAATAAAATAAAATACTTAAAATAAAAAAAACTTAAAAATTAAATAAAAATTATATATTTAAAATAAAAAATAAATAAAATTTTCTTAAACATTTTTTAATATTTTAAAAAAATAAATCCAAAAAATTTTAAAATACAACTCAAAATTCAAAAATTCAAAACTCAATATATAACTCAAAACTCTTTTCAAAACTCATAACAAAATATATTTTCTCTTTTCAAAACTCAACTTATAATTCTACACTTAAATCACAACTTCACATTCAAATCATAATTTCAAAACTAAACCAAACGGAGCCAAATGTTTGTTGTAATGATAAGAAAACCTATATATATATACAATTTTTAGGAATAATTATAGAAAAAAAAATCCAACCTTGTAACAAAATAAATTTGGATATTTTAATTTTATTAATTTAAATCTTAATATTTTCAATTATTTTCAATTTAAATTATTTATCCATTTTCGCTAAATAAAACTAAAGGAAAAAGAGTATTTTACCATTAAATTTAATATAATTATACATAAAATATTTAAAATACCTTCTTCATTGAGTTTGGTCCCGAAAACTCAATTGATTGGAATTAAACCTAAAAACTAATTGTAATGAAACCTACAATATTCACACACCAAAAAAAAAAAAGAAAAAAAGAAAACAAAAAGTGAAGCTTATTATATAATGGGCTAATTGTGTTGGGCATTGTGAATTTTGATAATGCAAGTCATTAGTCACTAGACTACGGATTCAACTTTAAAATAAGGGATTTTTTTATATTCATTTATGATTTGTTATCATAATTTTTATGTATTCATAGTTGAAGGGATGTGATTATTTTTGTAAAGTTTTTGAATATAATAAAAATTACAATAATTATAAACGTAACCATAGTTTTGAATCAATTATGCAAACTTTGTGTTTTGTGTATGTATAATTGATCATTCTAATTTTTTTTTTCTTCTTAATTTTTCGTGTTTCAACTACGGATTTAAAAAAAAAAATTAGCTTTTTTGTAATGCCACTGATCAATGGGTAATATAGTACAACATCATATTAATTAATTCTGTCCCAAAGCAAAAGCATGTTGAACAAACTATTGACTTACATATATAGCAACATATACAGTTTTTTTTTTTCTTCACATGATTAAGGAAATTTTAATATAATTTAAACTTAAGGATTTAGCTTGATTAACCAAATTGAATTTTTGTACCATAAATATATGATTCTCACCTACATTTGTCTAGGAAAATTACATCTGCAAAGTTTTTTTTTTTCTTTTGTAAAAATTGAGTTATGTTGTGGTCATTTTGCATTGAAATTAAAGCCAATATGAAAGGTAAAAATTACATAAAGTATTTTTCTTTTTGTAGTGAGATTTTGCTTTAAAATTAAAGTCGAAATAAAAGATAATATTATGATTCTTAGCTAACATTAATTATATATTTTTCTTTCTAATCTTGTACAAATTTTACAAAAGGAAAAAAAGGTCCAATGTGACAGAATGCTCTCTCTCTCTCTCTCTCCATAATAAGACTAGCAAGAAGTAAATGAATGTTAAGTATTATATTTGGATATTTAGTTTTTATTACTTTTATAAAAAATAAATTATATTATATTATACTGTAGCAATCAGGACAAAGGAGAGAATTTATAGGAAGGGGAAGAAAATTCTTGTTGGTATAATATAAAACTTACACACAACACAGGAGAATGAGAAAAATTATCTTTTGAACATTGTGTTTAATTGGGAGATTTGGAGAGAGATTTGAAAATAAAAATGAAAAAAGTGTGAAAATAGATGAAATATAAATATATTTTATTCACATTTTTCATTTCTCTTTCTAAATTTTTATTCAAATTTTTTAACCAAACATAATATAAGTTTGAATAAATCATGTTAGATTTGATCCCACACAATAATGGCTCAACGCATGCTACGCCCATTCATAATCGAGTCAATTCACCTTCATTTTAACATCTATGAGATATTATGAAATTGAAAAAGCATCCCGCAAGTTTGCCTTCTGAATAAGGATAGGCACTGGCTTGACGATGGTGGTATTTTTTTTTTTTTTCCCTTTTCTTTCTACAAGGGTGCATTTTCATTATTAAATTTTAAAAAATAACATAAAATAAAATAAAAACCACTAGACATAAAACTAGCATTACTATTCAAGACCAAAAATTAGATCTAATTTTTAAATTCAATGGTGTCGTAATTAATTAAAATAATAAATGTAACACTCTCTCTCATATCTTGTGTAATCATCAATTAATTATATCACTTACAACACATCATTAAATAAAAAATAAGTTAAAAAGTGAATTTGTATATCATTTTTCTCTGAACTAAATTATATGAAATATTTTCAAAACTAGCCTATTTAATAAATGGACCAAATATTTATTCTGTCCCATTAAATATAACCCAAATCCTTCACACAAAAAAAAATCCCATTAAATGTAACCCAAATCCTTCACAAAAAAAAAAAAACATAACATATGCTAACGTGAAACTAGAGCCAATCCGTAATCAGACGGCCATAAGCCATCAAGCCAATGCCCATCGAAAGGCCATCATAATTTAATGCAAGACATTTTGTCAAGTAAAAGATATACAATTATACACCATGACTAAATCGTACTATTGTATATATATATTCTATGAACCATTCACAGAATATAAATTTTAATGTATATTATTCTGTAAACCCATCATCACCATATAAATTAATATACTCAGTCGTAACCCACATCTATTAAGTAAATTCAGACACGTCATCCTTTTTATTAGTTTTTATTTTTATTTTTAGTGAAGTTTTTTTTTTTAAATTTAAAAATCCTTACACGTTTAAATGGCGCATTTTCAACTTTCTTTTTTTGGCCAAATTCTGAAGAAGTCAGAATTCTACAGAGAGAAGAGAGATGAACAACAGAACATGAAACACAATTTCAACCTCTTTTTTTCCATATCATGTCATCAGTGTTGTTTGCATGTTACATACTCAAATCAAAATTCAAATCCATAGTAAATGAAATTCTACAAACTCAAAACAATGAACAGAAACATGTTTTTTGTATAGGTGCACGTGGGACATTAACTTCATTTTTGCAATAATGAAATGTCTCAACACATTTTCTTATTATTTCAGATCTGTTTTAACGTAAAAATCCAAGTAAAACAATTTTAACCCACAAAAGTCCTCATTATTGACTAACTCAAAGGTCTCCCATAACGCTGATTAAAAAGTAACCATACAAACATTAAAAGTTTGCGGCAAAAGACACAATCCACGAGATGTCTGGTTGAAGAACAAAGGAGCGACATGAAAACAAAGCTATCCCCTCATTACTTCAGTTTCACAAACAGCTTGGGTGCATTCCAGAGCGGTTTCAGTATAAAATCAAAGACAGGAAATTGAACTAATCTACTTATATCATTAAAATTTAGTGCAGAGAGAGAGAGAGAGAGAGAGAGAGAAAGGGCTTACACATTTGTCAACACAAGACCAATAATCAAAATACTGCATTGCACATGCCCAGAATCATCATCTTGGATCCTTTCAACACATGCCTACATAAAAGAGATCAATTGGGGTTAGCAACAGCTTTGATTACTGCTCCGCCCAGTATACAAGCCAGGCTTAAACAACACGATCCCAGCTTGGTTGGCTTGTCCTAATCCCTCTAAAAATACCCAAATTAAATACTTCAGAAACAAATGTTGCTAAACAAGGTTAGGTTATAGTAACAATTAAAAGGCACAAGAAAAGAAGGAATAGAATAATGACTTTTCCAACAATTTTGGACAAACGGCAATTCAACTGGATAAAAATGATATACAACAAAGAACAATTATCTCAAACTAAGGCCAATTAGAGGATCTATATAACTGTTTCACAAAGCTTTTAACACTTCCAATTTGTGTTTGGATCATGAATTTGTGTGAGGATTCGAAAAGGGAATGGGGGCACCATCCTGACAACTCTCAACATGCTGCACATTTTTTAGGCAAGAAATGCAGCTGTACATTCTCTAAGACAAATGAAAGATGAGACAAGATTGGTTCAATAACTCCATAGGCAAATAAAATAAGAAATGCCAAAAGAAACATAGATGAAGATATTTGGAAAATATTAGGTTAGAAAGACGCAAAACTCGGAAGTAGAAAAAAATCCAAAAATTTTATTGAATGGTTTATGTCATGAATGACTAGTTTTAATTGAATTTTTCTAATCAATTGACCACATATGACTTTGATTGAATGCAAAGATGATGGTGTAAGATTTCTAAATGAATCTCTATATTCAATAGTATTTCAATACAATGTGTACATCTGATACATTAGCAATTCTAGACCTAATCCTAAATAGGAAATAAGAATAAACCTAAACCAATCCTAAATAGAAAAGAATAAACCTAGAAAAGAATAAACCCAGACTGCAGATGCTGACGAATAAAGTGATAATCAATCTCAATGTGTTTGGTCCACTCATGGAAGATAGTGTTATGTACAATCTAAATACCACTGCGGCTATCACAATAGAGGAAGGTCGAAGAAAACTGAGGGACGCCCAAGTCGGAGAGAAGACAACGAAGCGAAACAACTTCAGCAGTAGCATGAGCCATGACACTATACTCAGCTTCGGCAGTAGAGTGAACAACAACAATTTATTTTTTGCATTTTCAAGAGATCAAGGAATCGCCAAGAAACATACAGAAACCAGACGTGGATTTGCAATCAATAACATCACCAGCCCAATCAGAATCAACATAGGCCACCTGTAGACGTCCCCCGAACGCCCCGGGAGGAACGAACTCCCGTTCTGTTCGATATTGGGGTCACTACAGCTCAGGACTCTCAAATTTTCACGGTTCGTAATCTGAACCAAAGAGTCCAAATCCGGCAAATCGTTTTGAGAAAATAGATTTTTTTGAAAGAAGTGCCAAACATGGACTGCTTTGCCAGATACAGAGTCGCCACCTAAATATTTTATTTTGGGAAATTTAGGAAACCCTGACTCGTTGCCAAAGAAGATAGTGTTATGTGCAATCTAAATACCACTGCAGCTATCACAATACAGGAAGGTCGGAGAAAACTGAGGGACGCCCAAGTCAGAGAGAAGACAACGAAGCGAAACAACTTCAGCAGTAGCATGAGCCATGACACTATACTCAGCTTCGGCAGTAGAGTGAACAACAACAATTTATTTTTTGCATTTCCAAGAGATCAAAGAATCGCCAAGAAACATACAGAAACCAGACGTGGATTTGCGATCAATAACATCACCAGCCCAATCAGAATCAACATAGGCCACCAAATCTAGAGAAGAAGTAAAGGACAATAGTAAATCCTGAAATATAATACATCGGAGATAGCGAAGAATCTGAATCAATGCAGCCCAATGTGTGGAGCGAGGAGAAGAGACAAACTGGCTAATCACATAAACAATATAGGCAAGATCAGGACAAGTAACCATCAGATAGACTAAGCAATCCACGAGTTCTCTATATAAAGTAGGATCATCTAGAAGAACACCATCAGTAGTGTTGTACTTTACATTAAGCTCAATGGAGGTATCAAAAATCTTAGTGTCAGTAAGACGGGCACAATGAATAACTTCATTGGCATACTTGGCCTGAGAGAGAAAGTAGCCCTTAAGAGAAGAAACTACTTCAATACTAAGAAAATACTGCAAGGGGCTCAAATCCTTCATGTTAAAAGTGCGAAAAAGATGCTGCTTGACCTCAGATATAGCAAAAGAGTCAGAACCAGTGATGATCATATCATCCACATACAGTAATAACGTAATAAATCCAGAAAAGGTATGGAGAGGAGATAAAACAGAGTCTTGGGCACAAGGATGAAACCCAAGCTCGGTAACAGCAGTCTGAAAGCGATCATACCAAGTACTAAGAGATTGCTTCAGACCATACAAAGCATACCGAAGGCAACAAACCTGTCCAGAAGAATGGTGAAGGCCAAGGGGAGGACATATATAACAAGCTCAAGAGGAACTGTGGAGATGTACTCATCAGATGGGACCTCAGAAGGAAACCGATCAATATGAACCAAATCCTCTTTGAAAACTGGGGCAATGAGAGGAGGAAGCTGAAAGTAAGGTAGACATTCGAGAAAGGCAAAATGGCGGGAGACATAAAGGCAATGGAAAACAGGGTCATAACAGCGATAACCTTTCTCAGTGAGACGATAACCTTTATGAGTGAAACTATAACCCAAGAAGGCACATAGGATAGACCAGGCACTCAGTTTGGTCCTATCTTTACGGGATAAAATGACAACACAAGCAGACCCAAACACACGAAGGAAGAAGTAATTAGTAAGTTGAGAAAACAGAGTCTCATAACAAGACCGACCAGAAAAAAAGGGGATAAGTATACGGTTGAGAAGAAAAGCAGCAGTAAGAAGTGCCTTACTGTAGACACCCCATTTTTGACCGACCTTAAGACTCAGACGTCACTGATTGAACGCTCGGTGATATTGCATATTGTGCTCGTTTTGAGGTTTCAAAGTTTCGGCTGCGAGCCTTGCCTCCGGAATTCCGGGCTCTTTCGTGTCTTGCCTCGATTTGCGAACCAGGCTCCGTTTTCTCTTCCCGAAGGGAGGGAGAGGTCTCATAGATCATCTCTTAGTGGCCGTAGGCTACGTTTCGTGGTCGTAGGCCATTTTGCCCGTTTGGAGTCCGATTTCCGATTTTTCGGAGCCGTTGGCCGTGTGCTTCGGTTCGGGACCGCTTAACCACCTCCGTTTGCTCCGATTTTTGGCATGCATCTTTTTGAGTTCATTTTTGGCAGGGACCTCTGTTTCATTGTTAGGAAGGTCGTAGAAGGGTGGGAGGCCAGCAATTGTTCTGAAGACCATGTTTTATTCCTCCATCGCCCTCCGTCGCCCGTTTTTCCCACTTGAAAGCCAATATTGACCACCCTAAGGCTACTTTTTCTTGCCCCAAACCACATATTTGTGTTGCACACACCTGGGAGGCCACCAATATCATATGGCCGGCCAGTAATTGTGTGTGACCCTTTTGAACCCCTCCTAAAAGTGGCCTTTTATCTCTCCTGGTTCATTCTCTCCAGTTTTTGACCACATGGTTGTGTTGTGCACACATGAGAGGCCCTCTTTTTGGCATGGCCGGCCATTAACCTTCATTGACCCTTTTGACCCTTGGCCGACCGGCCACCTAAACCCTAGGAAACCAGCAGGCCATGATCCTCTCTCCAGGTACTTTACAAAAATGCCCTCTGTTTCCCCCCAGATTTTGTATCCGGGGGGGCCAACTTTTGGAGAGAAATTTGAATTCCATTCCCCCCCCCCTTTTTTTCCCCCTCTTTTGCCTATATGTCCAGGCCCTCCAGCTCCCATTTGAGGGGTTAGAAATTTTGGTTTAAGCCTCCTACATTGTATCTCTCTCTCTACACTCCAACCCTCAAAACCCCTCAAATCCCACACCCCTTTCTACACCACCACATAGCACCACACCACCACCAACCTTTCCAACACTTGGAGCTGGTTTTCCAGAGCTTAGGAGCACCTTTTCTCAAGCCAAGAGCTACTGAAGCTTGGTCTACAAGGGTGAGTCTTCATTCTCCCTCTTTTGTGCTTTATTTTGTTCTATATCTAAGCCATACTTGCTTACATTTTTGGGCTCCGACCCTAACTGAAAATAGTCATGTTTTGATGTCTTTTTCATGATTGATTAAGGGTCCTTCCATGTTTAAGGTCTCTAGCTACCACTTGCTTCTTTACCTCTCTTGTATGCCTCTTTCTTGCGTAGTATTTTAGGCTCATTTGTAAACTGTTTTGAGCTTGGTCATAAACTGAAAAGTGGCTTATTTTGAGCCTTTATTCAACATTGTTGAAGGGCTCTTCACTATTTGAGGCTTCCTTTTGTCACTTGCGTCTTCATCCCTCTTTTGGCCTTACTTTTGCATGTTTTGTTAGCCCCTTGTGCTTGTATTTTTGGGCTCTGGTCCAAACTGTAAATAACATTATTTTGACCCTCTCTTCATGTTTGATCAAGGGCCCTTTGCTATTTGAGGCTCCTTTTTTGCTCTTTGTGTTTAAACCTTCTTTTAGGCCTATTTTTGCATAGTATTTTAAGCTTACTTGTGCACTTTTTTGGACCTGGTCATAAACTGTAAAGTGTATTATTTTGAGCCCCTCTTCAACTTTGTTGAAGGGATCTTCTTTGTTTGGGGCTAGCTTCTGTCCCTTTGTGTTTAATCTCTATTTTAGGCCTTTTCTTGCATAATAGATTAGCCCTATTTGCATTCGTTTTTGGGACTTGTTATAGACTGGAAATATGCATGTTTGGGGACTGTCTTGCTTCTGTATTCATACTTCATGATCAAATAATGCATCTTTTGTATAGCTATAGGCCAATGCATATGCCTAGTTTTGTGTTTCGGGTTCATTCCATACATCGGGTGCCATGTTTCCATGCTTCGGGGCTGTTTTGCATCATATTTCAGCACTGAAATTTGCAAGTTTGCATACCATGTTTCATGCCTTGCCATGCCTTGTTAGTGTTGCATGTTATGCCTTGGGTTCGGTCCTCGGTTTGCGTGCATGTGTGCACGCATTTCGAGTGTCTCATTTTTCATCTCATGGCCTCCTATGTGAGTGCGGCTGAGGTCCACTCACATTGGCGTAAGCCCATATTGCATTGTGTATGCCATTTCATTTTATAGCATTGCGTATGCTAGGTTGTATGTTAGAGCATTGCGTATGCCTTGTTACATCGTGCATTGTGTATGCCATCTCATAGCATTGTGCATGCTAGGTTGTATATTAGTTGCATTCATACATGTCATGCATATTGCATTGTGCTTGGGATAGGAGTTAGCCTGAGCACGGGAAACGAGGGACGTTTCGTACTTCGAGTGACGGAACGTGTCTCAATTCCCAGTCACCGACACTCCGGATTATCCATGATGGAGTTTAGGTTTTATTGTGTCCATATGTGCATTCATTTCATATTGAGTCGTGCAATTCGACTCCTCGGCCATCATGCATCGATATGCATGTTGTTGCACGAGGACCGAGGACTACACTCCCTGAAGTGTAGTCATGTATACATATGTGAAAATATTTCGCCATGCCCCTTTGTTGCTCTCTGTTGCAGCAAATCAGAAATCGGCAGCCTTCCGAAGCTTAACACGCATTCCAAGAACAATTGCAAACAGAGGCAAACCGGGGCATCACGAGGGATTCTCCGTACAAGGCAACCCGAGCATGCATCATTCATCATCCGGAGCAGATTTGAGGCAGTCCCTGGCTTGCATGCCAATTTATTGCTTTCCCAATTTAATTTGTTAATTAATTAGCGTTTTGTACATATTTGGACTATAATTATTCATTTGGGACTGTATATTATTTATTCGGACCATCTGCGCGAGGGCACAACTGTAATAAGTGTGCATGTGTGTGATGTATGTCTTCCAACCCCACGTCTTTCTCCCTTTTATTTACCCGCTTATGATGGTTAGATTAGGGCATGTTTCAATTAACATACAGTATGATAACATGTTTGCATTCATTCATCTGTTTTGCATGCACCGGGCTCGGCACATCATACTAACTGCATTGAATTTTCAATTCCAAGTTGAATACATGTTAGCTGTAGCATTTCATATGTCATGTCTAGAATAACCGAGCCTGCTATAGTTGCACTTTTGCATGTGTTGCATTAGGCATTTCTGTATAATTAGGATCATGCATGGATTTCTAATTAGTTTCTGTTTTGGCTTGGAGTACTCGGTAAGTTTTATGCTTTAGCATCCTTCCATGCGTGTGAGTGACTGCCATGATAGCATGCTTACCATGAGGCTAATTGCTTATGTGATATAACTGCCTGAATACCTGTGGGTGAAGGTTGGGTTATTTGAATTGAACAATTCATCAAATGTGTGTTTTAAGCCCACTAGATAGTGGCAAAATCATGTTTTTCTAAGCCACCCGAGGGGGCAATCCACGTCTTAGCCTACCTGCGGGTAGCAAAACTTCCTTTAAAAGGCAAGCATGAAATGTTTTGTTCCAATTCAGGTGATCCAGTCTATACTTGTATGTTGTGCGCATCACATAGTAAATCTATGCTAATAACCGGAATAAGAACATACAATGTTTTCAAAAATAGATATCATGGTTAGTAGAGGCCGATCTTTGATCGGGCGAGCGGGGGTGCTCACGAAGTGACCTTCCCCAATCGTACCCAAGTTCCTGAGCTGATGCAACTTTGGTGCTGACGGACACGTGACCTTAGGCAAACGAGTTAGGGTTTCCTAAATTTCCCCAAAATAAAACATTTAAGTGACGACTCTGTATCTGGCAAAGCAGCCCATGTTTGGCACTTCTTTCAAACTCTGTTTTCTCAAAACGATTTGCCGGATTTGGACTCTTTGGTTCAGATTTAGAACCGTGACAATTTGAGAGTCCGAACTGTAGTCCAAATGAATAGAACGGGACTCATCCTCCCGGGGCGTTCGGGGACGTCTACAGTTTCTGGCGACTCTGCTAGGGAATTTAGAGAACTTGACTCGAACCCATGATATCTTGTTTTGACTGCACTTATGTGTTTCTTTGCATTGCATTTGCATTGGTGCGCCTAGGACACCGTGTTTGCCATCTGCTATTCCTGAACGGTTTGCCGGAGGCTTGTCTTGTCAAGACATGACCATAAGGCTGACCGGTTGTGGGCTCTGCCAGTATGGGAACACAAACCCCGGTTTTACCAGGGCACCCTTTTAACCATTCGACCTAGTGCAT